AATCTGAAAACAAGCTATTTCCTCCCAAAGAATTTCTAAATTAATCTCTGGATGTATCCTGCTTTATCAGTTGGCACATCTGCCCCCTGACCACCCACGTGGGGTAAGGGCTCACTCTATGAAAGCACAAGCAGCCTCAATAGCATCACTTCCCAAGGCACCCTTGCTTGATATTTGCAAGGCAGCAAGATGGAGTTCCATCCACACATCTACAAGACATTACGTCTTGGTCCAAGCCTTCTCTACTGATGCATCCTTTGGGACAGCAGTTCTACAAGCAGTCATACCACCTACATCCTTGCAAACTCCTCCTCTCTGAAGTGCTGCTCGTCAGTCACCCACTGTTGAATACACATAGGGACCAGTACTGAAAGAAGAAAGAGAATTTACATACCCTCTTATAACTGGAGTTCTTCCAGATGTGTGGTCCCTATCTGTATTCCACTACCTGCCCTCCTTCCTCTCTGCTTTGGATTATGTCTGGATTCACGGTAGAGAAGGACCTGGTGAAGCGGTTGGTCTGCACTGTCTGTTATGCCCTCAGAGCAGAGAATGAGGAGAGCAAGGTGCAAGCATGGACCAATGGATGCTTCTTGCAAGAATTTCCAGACTCAGGCATGAAGCACATGCATACGAACAGTGGAACACAGATAGGGATCAGACATCTTGAAGAACAACCATTACAATCAGGTAAACTTCCCTTTTTCACTCTCTTCACAAATGGGTAGAGTACACGCAGCTCTTATGTGAGCTTCGATCTCAAAGGATGAAAGAGTAACTCAGTTTCCATGACATTCATTTTTTAGCCTTTTTGCTGAGATTGCCAACACAGGAAGCAGTTGTAATGGTGGACAGACACCTGTTCATTAGCAACTGAGTAGGTTAAATAAGAGTAGGTTAGATAAGTGTCTATCAGGGATGGTCTAGATGGTATTTGGTCCTGCCATGCGGGCAGGGGACTGGACTCGATGACCTCTCGAGGTCCCTTCCAGTCCTAGAATCTATAAACTGGATAATTAATTCATGTAGGCAACAAAACAGCTATTAAAGGGCATGGGTGCAGGCAAGCATTTGGCATGATGTTGAATTCTCAATTTCCTAGTAGCAGCCTTTCTACTCTTCATTAGGACTTTCAATACACTGCTAAATTAAAACACATTAACCTCCTGTGTTAGTGGGCATGTTGGTGGAAGGCCAGGCACAATGCTACTGTACAAGGGCTATGGTTATAGTACTGGCAGGGGGGAGCAAACTGGCTGCTGACACCATCTGCTGAGCATAGCCAGGGCTTAAATTCTCAGAGATTATTTCCCGGAGGCTCTCCCCTCTACTGCCTCATTCGGGGTTCCTGATTTCAGCTGTGGGGTGAGAGTCTTGGGGCTTTAGCATGGGGGGGAGAGGGGCACTGGGGCTCAGGGCTTCAGCCCCGTGGGAGGCAGGGGGGGCTCCTGCAGGTTTGAAAATATTTACCAGAGCTCCGCTCCAGACAGCTCCAGCTGAATTTAAGCCCTGAGCATAGCTAATACTTTTTTTGTTAGCACTGACCTAAGTAGGATTTAAACTGGCAACATAGAGGTGAAGTCATTTTTATTTTCCTATATAGTGCTCATCATAGCGTTTCTGTTCAGTTTTATCTGAACAAAAACACTAGGGATTTTTATACTTTTCTTATCTGAAAGTCTAGGGAGCACTTCACAGTTGCTGTAAATATCATAATTTGGGGTTTTCTTTCTTTCACTAATTCAGTTTTACTCTCCTAGGTCACTAGAAGTGGGTTCCGTGGAATAATACATCTTTAAAAAGGCGATAATAGCTCTTTTTAGAATTCACAACCAATCATTATGACCTAAATGGATCTCTGTTGTTGAATGCTCTACAATCCTATCCATTATTGCCAGCAGAAATGCAGTCTTCCACCTAAGGTTATAGATATTGAAGAAAATTGTCAAGTTTCTATCTCCTGCACCATTTCAAGCTGTTGTTCCATTTTTGTTTATTTGTTTACTCTTACAATGTACCCTTCTACAAAGCTTATGTAGGTTTGTATTACAGTTGGGGTCCTTGCCACATGTAATGAAGATAACTGTCTCTAAATATAGATAACACAGCCCTTGTACTCTTCTCCCCTGCCCACACATGAATTCTGTACAGTATGTGTGTGTGTAGGGAGTCAGAGTTCTCCAGCCTCTCTTGCCTTTGTAGTAATGGTGGTTGCAGCAGCTATGCTCTTCCTTAAACCATCCTGTCTCAGTTACAGGGCTAGCTGCACCTCTTTTGCCTGCCTGGTCTCTTTACATGCTCCCCCTCAGGTGTCAGGCTTCGTACCTTTACCAGTGCTGGGTGCAGAATTCCATAATTCTCCCCCCTCCTAGACTGGGCAGTGGGCTACAGTACTCTGTGTATCAACAGTGCTTACCCAGTATCTCCATCTGAGGTTGGCACCTGTGATTCTTCTCTGTGGAAGTCTCTGACGAGTGGTATATATGATCATGCAGCATTCTGAAAACCACAGTATTTATTTTAGCAGTGGGAATAAAGCCTTTAAAGAAAAAGGATTTTAAAACAACAAATAGTCTAACCACCCATGTCTATCTTACCTAAATTCTTACTATTCCCTACTTGTAAGCTAGGCAGGCCTAACTTCTTCAGACACTGCTAGTGGGATTTCGGTGTCTGTCTGGTTCCCCTCTATAACACCGGCTTCTCTCTCTTGAAAGAAGAACTCATTTAATCCTCCCAGAACTCTTTTGTTCTTCTTTATTCACAGGCTTTTCTGTCCTGGTCCAAACCAATGTTGTAGGCTCAGGGCCGGTGCTACCATTAAGGCGAACTAGGCGGTTGCCTAGGGCACCAAGATTTGGGGGCACCAAAAAGCGCTGCCCCCAATTTTTTTTTTTACAGCGTTCCTCCCCGAGCGCGCGGTCACCGCTCCACTTCTCCCGCCTCCCAGGCTTGCAGCGCCAATCAGCTGTTTGGCACCGCAAACCTGGGAGGGGAGGAGAATTAGAGTGGGAGCGGCGTGCTCGGGGAGGAGGCGGAGCAGAGGTGAGCTGGGGTGGGGAGGTGCCGCACGGCTCCCTGGGCCGGGGGTGTGGGGAGCTGCCGCGGGGGTGCCTCAGGGCGGGGGTGGGAGCTGCTGCAGGGATCCCCACCCCAGCTCACCTCTGCTATGCCCCCTCCCCGAGCACCCCGTTGCTGCTCCACTTCTCCCATCTCCCAGGCTTGCGGTGCCAATCAGCTGTTTGGCGCCACAAGCCTGG